CCAGCGGGGAAGCCCGAGGAACTCCCCCGTGATAAGTGCCGCCGTGAGAGAGGCCGTCACCCCCAGCTCTTCCAGGGCCGAGCGCGGCGGGATGGAGGAGAGGGCAGGGCAGGAGAATAAATTTCATTTTACTGTAGAAATGGAAATTTGTGTCATGGCTTTAAAAATCTGGTTTTATGTGTGTGTTTAATGCCATTCATTTTAAATGTAGTATCATAAATCCTTGCTTCAGAATCAAAGCTGTTTAATTACATTTCACCCATGAATAGTTACCTAATGCCAATAGAGAAAGAGTTAAAAAAGAGAACTACAGAGTAAATCAGAGGTTGAGATCTTTAGCACAAGCATAAAAAATCAATTTAAGATGAATTTTACTACTATAAAAATTCTTCAAATATCCTTTTAAGAGCGGGAAATGCTAGGAAAGCCAGCTCACATTTCAATTCCCTCAGCAGCATGAGAGAAGGACGCCCGCGTGGGCAGAGCCTTGCAGTACTGGAGTGCACCCCATTTTGCTCAGGGGTGCTGAGGAAGGAATCCTCACTCTGGAGTCTGAGCAGTTGCTGGGGGCACAGAAGCTCCCAGCTCTTGTGGCAGAATGCCCCCTCTCCCACAGCGTACCCTCGCTTCCCTGAGAGACCCCATCTGCAGGGTGTGATGGCCAGCCAGACCCCTCTAGTTCTGGAGCCTAACCCTGACCTTGAGGTGCTTGCTTTGCCAACCAGTCCCACATCCCAGTCTTCCCCGGGGGCCCTGCAACTCACCCACCACTGAAATGGCAGCGCCTGTGCTCTGCCCCATCCTCTCCGGGGGAGCACCTTTTCTTGGGAGCCCAAATCCTGCAGCCCCAGGTGCCACCAAGGACGCCAGCTCACGACGTCAGCGGAGGTAATGCAGGAGAAAAGACCCTTACCCAGCACCTCAGTCCCTTCCTGTCCCATCCCTCAAACCCTGCAGGAGACGTTGGCTGAGCTCTTGCTGCAGAAGGTGCCAGGCCCAGGTGGCTTGATCAGGGGTCTTGTTTCCCCAGTTGAAGGTCGGGGTACATGGGCCCCATCACGCTTGCTCTTCCTGTCTGGACAGTGGTGGTTGACAGCTCTTTGTCACTCAGGAGGGAGCTGGGACTAACCCTCCCTGCACGCTGCTTCTACCCCTCTGTTCTGCCGCCTTCCGCAGGGATCAGGATAGCAAAGCACATTACATATTTCTCCATCTTTCTTCTTAGATATCATCAGTACCCTGTTTATTCAGTTAGCAAGGAGCGGAGCATGAATCGAATGACTGAACATGCATCTCTGAGATTGAATAATATTTAAACCAAGCAGAAGTTCTCCTTTCCATGGCCAGACCTCACTAAGCGGGAAGCAAATCGGGGCAGTGAGAAGACAGCACTTCCATGCCCCAAGGAAACTCTGAGAGAGGCCATTTGGTTGCCCTGCTCGGCAAGCCGGTTCTCTGCCTGCAGAGTGAGCCCGGTTTCCCCGGGGCCTCCTTGTGACGGCGGCCGATAAGGGTTTCCAGGCAGTGGCTTGGGCTCTGGAGACCTCAGCTTGTGTATTGAGGGTACTGGGCTGAACGAGGGCCCTGTCTGTGTGAGTTCCCTCAGGCAGGGGTCTGGATAAGGTGGCAGCTTAGAGAAGGCCAGGGCCTGTTCTGTCTGCCCGCAGTGTTCATGGGGTCAGCCATGAACTTTAGCCGGCTCTGCTGGGCTTAGTTCTCAGGCCCAACTGCTGGTCTCAGTTGTCCGTGACTGCCGGTCATCCTAGTGAGCTTCCTTCTTTTTCCCTTCATTCTCTGGCTCCTTCCTTAAAGTTGTCAATATCTGCGTGCTTGAAACCTCTGACCACCCTCCTGTTCCACTGTGAAAAACAGTGCCCAGGGACCCCTATGTGCATCTCACCCGAAGACCCGAGGATCTCGGCAGAGACTTTTACACCCACAAACCACTCCAGCCCGGAGACCCAGCCTCCAGGACAGGACAGCGTGTGAGACTGGCCCGAGGTCTTCCATCACTGCCCCTGCTGTCGGATGACATGCACATTTCTGCACCTGCAGGACCTCAAAGCGAAGTAACCCTGGACACACCCTTCACTGGGTCTCTTTCCCCCACGTCCTCCCAGCAATGGAAGGAAAGCACAACTCCACACGAAAATAACAATACAGGTGCAGCTCCGTGCCTCTCCGTAGCTTCTCCCTGCCGCCCCGTGGGCTTGACCATGACGTCACCACACACTGTAGGTGTCGCAGACGCAGGCCTACGGCCGTGTGTGCCCCTCGGCATGTCTGCTGTCTTCTGGGAAGATGGAAATGCCATCACAGGCACTTACTCAGGCAGAAGCTCTGGAACTTTAGATCCCAGCTTCTCCGTTTTTAATTGTCTCTTGTTAAAATGTGAGTATCCCAGATGGAATGCAAAAGAGGTTCCTGTTGCTGAGGCCCCGGTTTCTTTTCTGAATGGAAGTGCCAGGGTATTTCCGCCCACAGTACACTTTAAGCCAAAGTAATTTGTATCATCTTTAACACAAGCCCAATACACGAAAGGCTGTGTTTGTTTAACTAGACGTGTAAGCTATGGTTATCTTTATTTCCACTTTAACTGCATAAGAGAGTAAACCTTTTTAACTATGAGGAAGGTGTTTGGCTTCCTTTTATCTCTTGCCTCATTATGTACTTTTGACTTTATTCAGATTTGTACAAGCTTGGTTTTTACCTCACAGGAAAAGCAAGAACTAATCGCTCCAGAGATCATCTGAGCTCTTCGTGTGAAAGTATTTTAAGAAGTTGTGACTGCATCTTCTTTTCTAAAACAGCCTCCAATTCTGTGATACAAAGTAAAATGTCGGTTGTTTGCAGCTGCGGGGCGTGGTCCTCCTGGACGCCAGCCGTAGCAACAGGCCCCATCCACATGGGGCTGGGAAGACAGGTCCCCTTCTGCATGGGGCCGGGGAGACAGGCCCTGTTTCGTACAAGGCCAGGGAGACCGGTGGAATCCGCACGGGACCAGGGCGACACCCCCATCCACACAGGGCCGGCAGACAGGCCGAATCCACACAGGGCTGGGGTTGGAGCTGAGAGTCATCCCTGACCCCAGCTTCGTGGTCCTCCTCTACCTCTTCCCTGCACCATGGCCATGTTCTTCCTGCTGCAGCCCTGCTTTGGGGTAGCTATGGTGCCTTCTGCCTCTGGCCAGGGGCCCGCAGCCCCCACCAGTCACACTGTGGGCCCCATTTATAGGACCAAGTGCCCTTCCCACCCTGACATGCACAGCCCTTGTCCACTTTTCTGTGAGTCTCGGTACCCAAGGCCTTCACTCTGTGTCTGTGTTCACACTCTCTGTCCTATGCCCAGGATGGCTCTGTTGCCTCCTCTCCAGGGACCAGCCATGTCCACCCTTGTGTGGCTAGTCGGGATGGTGCTCTTGGCTGCATCGGCCACCTGTGCTGGGCTGCACGTCCAGGCAAATGCAGCCTTCATTGGGAACCTCCCAGAGCAGCATGCGTGTGTCAAGGAGAAGCATTTTGTAGATCTCAGCGCACAGCCCCCGAGGCAGCCCAGGAAGGAAGGGTGAAGGGCCCATGGGAGCTGTGCGTCCGCAGCCTCCACAGTGCAGTGATGCTTCCCAACTTTTCACAGAAGCTTGAGGAGCAGCACTGTCTGTGAAAGGAAACTAGAAAACTCCTGCGCTCCAAGCCTGGGAAGTCCCGGGGAAGCGTGCCGTTTGTCTGGGGCCTTGAGAAGCAGGGAAGGAAGGAAGGGAGTCACCTGAAGATAATGGACCCTGTGCCAGGGCTTCCCAGTGGGGTTCCACAGCACTTGAAATCACAAAAGGTTGTGCCATGCACGCCACAGCCCCCGGTGGCAGTGGGAGACCTCCCCTTCAGGGCCGTGTCCTCAGTCTGTGGAACACAGCCCCGGAACATCCACCCCTGCTGGGGATGGGGAATCCTTTCCGTTAGGGGCCACCAGGTCGAAAGCACAGAAGAATGAACACCCCAAACAGAGGCAGCCACAAAACAGTCTGAAGCGACTCTGAGAGGTACAGGTTCAAACTGCAGGAGACCAAAGGGAGGAGAGTGGCCAGAAAGAACCAAGAAGGCCGCGTGGTAGCTCACGCCTTTAATCCCAGCAGTTTGGGAGGCCCAGGCGGGCGGATCACCTGAGGTCGGGAGTTCGACACCAGCCTGGCCAAGATGATGAAGCCAACATGGAGAAACCCCATCTCTACTGAAAATGCAAAAAATTAGCTGGCTTGGCAGGCGCCTGTAATCCCAGCTACTAGGGAGGCTGAGGCAGGAGAATCGCTTGAACCTGGGACGTGGAGGTTGCAGTGAGCTGAGATTGAGCCATTGCACTCCAGCCTTGGCAACAAGAGCAAAACTCCGTCTCAAAAAAAAAAAAAAAGGAAGATTTGAGAAAGAACCGAGTAGACGCAGGCACGTGAGGCACACGGCTGCTCCCGAGAGGGCTGCTCCCGAGAGAACAGACTCGCTGGATGAAGGAAACACAGACTAGGCCCTCTGGAGCGTGGGAATCGGGACCGAAAGTGAACCCTGAGGACTCCCCTGAGCACAGCTATGGAGGAGGCAGGACGCGTGGTTGTGGCCTTGCATTGTTGGACTCGGGGTGGGGTGTGCTGTGTGGTGCAGTCTAATGACTGTGTTGATATTTCTGGAAACTTTTCGATAGTGAGTGCTTGATGATTTAGGTGCAGCCGTGCCATCTGTAAGTCTTACGAAGGGACACTGTCACTTGGGTTGCTTTGCGCTGTGATGCAGACTCAGAGCGCACGTCCTGGGAGGCCTGAAGGTGGAGAGTGGGTGCGGGGCCTCAGTGCATCCTTGCCTCACCAGTCCCCCTCTCTGCTGCACAGCTAGTTGAGACGCGCGTGCCCGTGAAGCAGCCGCAGGTGTTTGCCCGTTTAGATGCAACAGGTTTTTGCTTTTCCAATGTGTGAAGGCAGGGCCCAGAGGTTTACTAAGCCCCTGTTCTCACTTTTTCAGTGCCATGGAGGTCCCAGCCCCTGCTGAGGTTCTCAGAGGTCCGGAGCCCCTGATGCAGTGCACAGCCTGGCTGAATGCCTATTTCCACCAGCCCGAGGCTATCGAAGAGCTCCCCGTGCCGGCTCTTCACCATCCCATTTTCCAGCAAGGTCAGTAACTAAGCCATCTGCGGTGGTTCCTTTGGGGAGCTTGACTTATTAACGATCGCTGACATCACACTTCATTTTATTGAATATACCAGCTTGGTATTTTTACATCAGCTAAACAGAGACAGTGTTTGGCCGAGCTGGAGGGACAGGGGTTCACCGCCTCCACCCACTCCAACGCTTGTGTTAGTTTTGGCACAGGGTCGCATAATTCTTGGCAAAGGCCGTAAAAATGATGCATGCAGATTGACTCTTGACTCTCGCTGGCTGAAAGGTTTAAATAGGAACACATCTGAATGGCAGTAAATTTTTCAATAAGCTTATTGTGAACTTCAACTATCTGCTTGCCAACAGCACAGAAAATGGAACTTGTGCGTGGACATTTAGCCACTTCCATACACTCTGTTTGTGACACTTACATCATAGCAGGTAGCAGCGTTGGAGCTTCTCGGATAAGTTTTGCATTTAATTTCTCAAACGTACCAGAGTTAGCGATATTCTTTCTTAAGAGATAGCTTGAGAACTTACCTGTACATAGTCTGCTTAAGGCTTGTGATAACCTAAAACATTTCCCAGACATTTCTTTTACAGCTTATGTTTGGCTCTGCTCAATATAGAAATTAATTACAGCAACTAAAATCATTCCAGATACATGCCAGAAATTTATTTTGCATAGTGAGTTTTTCATAATCATTTTTGTATAAGTGAATGTATATTCATATATGATGTATATAAGGAGTTGTACACTTATATATCCTTAAAGGGAAAGATTACCTTGAGATTTTACATGTGGTGAATTGAAAGCAATTTGGAATTTCAGATCGGATTTGCTGGGTAAGCTTAACAGTATTCTAATTGCTGCGGTGCTTCTCAGCACAACAGAAACTTGAAAATGGAGAGACGTTTTCAGGGGAAGCAGGTAGAGAAACCCCTGAAGGTTGGGCTAATACCTGAGTTCACTTACGAAGTCAGACAGGCGAACAGATGAAGTCATGAGCACGTTTTGTGCATAATGAACTGAAACTGTGCAGCTGTAACGGACCAGGCACCTTGCTGTCCTCTGAATCATATAGAACTATCTCCAGAAGGGTTCAGTGGGGATCTCTAGGATGGGCAGGCAGGAAGCTAGAGTGAGTGGGCCTTTACATGGAACCACAAACATCCACGAAACCTCTCATCATCTTTGCCCACCAATGGGCCGCCGCCAGGACAATGGCACTACCAAAGCCTGCTGGGCTGCTGCCAGCTATGGACCCACCTCTCCCCAGCACCACAAGCCAGTGAGCCAAGCAGACGGTGTGGGGGACCCTGCTTGCTGTACCCCTGACGAGCTGGGCACAGGGCAGGATGTTGCTGCATGGCCCAAGGAAGTCAGAGATTGGTTTTGTTTACTAAAGTTGGGGCTTGGGGATCTTAGAGTGGTGAACTCTTCTCTGTACGGTCTCTGTTTGGGGGTTCACCTGCCAGGAGGAGCAAGGCTGAAGAGCTGCCCAGGAGGCTTTTTTTTCTCCTTAAGCCTGTCAAATATGTGAGCTGAAATGTAAGGTCTCAGGACAGAAAAGTTCTCTTATAAAACCAGGGCAGGAGGTATCCGCATAATCATACGGAGGCTGGGAGAACGAGCCTGCAAACCGCTGAAGTTTACCTAAGGTTTATTGTGCAACTTTATGAAAAACGTAGAGGCAAAAGTTCCATGAAAATTGTTAGTTTTCTCCAAGTCATTTTGTGGTCCTGGCCATGGAGCTAGACCCTGCTGGCCTGGTCTCACCAGGGTCCAGAGAGTGATGTGCACTGGGGCAGGCCAGGAAGAAGCGGAGGAGGAGGCCTCTGCAGCTGCTGACAGGAACTCTGGGACGGGGGTGGCCAGCAAGGGAGGAGGCACTAGAAATAATCAGACACTCTCCAAACCACCCCTGCAAGCACTGAACCCCTGCTGAGCCTTTCCCCCCCCTCGCTTCTGCCCATGGCAGTATTTGCTGCTCCTAGAGCCAACAATGGCAGGCGGGCCCCTGGGGCTCCTCAGTCAAGTCCCTAGTGCTTAAGCAGAGTTGGGATCCGCCACACCTACCCTTGCCTCCCTGGCTTTCGGCCCACGCCAGGCCAGGCTGCTTCCTGGGCTGGCAGGTCATGATAGCTCTTGGTGACCAGGAAGACCTCAAAGTAGCCACTAGGATACTGGTAAAGGCTGTCTGTCCCCATCATGGCCCTGCCCCTCTTGGAGAGCCCTACAGTGTGGGTGGATACCTCTAGCTGGGACGAGGTCCACTCCGGCAAAGTTTTGGGGTGGGAGTGGGACAGCCTCTCACATCCTTCTCTCTTGTTACTCTAGGAACTCTGAGGCTGGCTGCAGACCCGGGGTGCTGAGCTCAGGGTCTTCTCTCGAGGGTGGGGCTGGAGTCCCCTGGGCCAGGCCTGCCTGCGGATGATTAGTGGTTGCTATGGGGGCTGGGATTCCCCACCACAGCATGTGCAAGCCAGGTTTTTAACATTTAGCTCAATCGTTTACTCCTGGGCAGGGGCCAGGTGTACGGATTTTACTGTTTGAAGAAGGGGAGGTGGATGGTGGATGGTTGCTAACAGCGAGTTAATTGGTTCTCCCAGATGTGGATGCGCCCCTTTCTGTCTGGCATGAGTTTGGTTTGCTCTCTGTCCAGTTTGTATCTTGTAACGTCAGTGAAATCAACAGTGAGGGGAGTAGGTCTTTTAGAGGAAAAGTCTTTTGACATCTCAGAGCGCCCTGGAAGCTGTGGAGTAACAGAAATCAACCTGCTTTGCAGACTGAGAGGAATGGGTCCATTGTAACATGGAATGAATGTTTCCTTGACCAGTTCCCTTTTCTGTACATTTTAATTTTTGTATATGTTTAACATACTTTTGCATATCATTTTTCACCATATTCTCTCTTCTGAGATTGAGACCAGGTTTATCTATTTCAGCCTGGTTTATCTACATCAACATTTTTAAAAACGTGATTGTGTTTGAGCTCATCCTTGAGTTCCAGCACACTGACCCTTTCTTTCTGAAGGCCTGGCTGTTAAAACCTCTGACCGCACAGTAGCCAGCCTTCATGGCTTCCTCAGGCCCGTCCTGCCACGGAAGGAGCCCGTCTCCTGCACGCCACCTCTTCGCGGCACCACCTCGCCTTCCAGGATTCCTCTCTGGAAGGAACATGCTGTTCTTGATTTGCTTTTTAAGGCTAACCACAAAAATATGCATTACGTTGAACCATACGAAGTTGCTGTTTTTGAGGTTAAAACTTACCAAATCCTAGAAATCTCAGACGGTTCAACTTCTTATCTTGGGGAATTTCCAAAGACAGGTTAGTAACTAGGTCACTGTTGGGGTGTTTCTGCCTGGGGACAGTGAAGCTACCTTTCCCGGCCCGGTGTCCGGAGGTCTCCGGGGCGGCCTCATTGTGAGGCCGGGACAGGTGGGGTTTCCCAGCGGGAGGGCGCTGAGGCCCTGGAAGGAAGCCTCATTGTTCTGCTGAAGGGATTAAGAGGAAAGCTGAGCTGTCCAATGAAGCGTATCCTCATTTCTGGTTCAAGTGTTGTTTTAGTCAGGTCATTTCCTAAAATAAAATTCGTCAAAGTTTTCTTGGTTTGGGGTTTTTTGGCTTTTTTGGTTTGCTATTCTGGTTTTTTTAAAGTGTCAACAAAATCCATTTTCTAGCTACTGTGTGACCGAGACCCAGCGTCTTATTGCGCAGCATAGCTTTTTAAGGAGGTCATTTTTCCCCGTAAGCCTCTCACAGGGTCAGCTTTGTATTTATTTCTCATTCATTTTTCCTCAAGAAATACTTGTTTAATGAAGCCATTCTTTTTGAAATACATTTTTACTTTTTTCTTTTATAATGAAATATCATTTAAACTTTTCTCTGAACACCCCCTGATTTCTTAGTGTTTATTTATGAAAATGTTTAGCTTCTGTATATAATACGCCTCCTGGAGAAGCCAGAGGTCAGCGGGCAACGCAGTTACACCAAGAAATCCTTTTACCCTCGTTTGCCAAAAGCAGCTTTTTACAATGAGTTCGAGAAAAGCAGACCTATGGAAGGCGAGGATGGACTTTCAGATACAGAACCCATCTGGACACGTCCTCAGGTCCCTGAGCCCTCCCACCCATGGAAACCCTGCCGGCAGGTGTGGCTGACCCCAGGCTGCTGAGGGAGGGCCTGAGACCAGGGCAGGACCAAGCCTTGGGGCTGCCCACGCAAGACTGTGGGAAGCCTAGCTGGGACCCCAGCCTTCTCACAGATGAAGGCGTACAACAGACGAGTTCTGAGTTTTCTTTGTAAAGTGACTGCAATGTTCCCTTTTAAATGAAATATTTAACACTTTAGTAATTCCTTCGTCACAGCTATTGGCTTATAGCTATGAAATCCAGTTGCATGACAGCAGTAAAATCTCCGTTTTTTAACACCTGCTGGTAGAAGTTAAGTTTTTGTAACTTGTATTACAGAGCCTCAGAAAGGATTCATATTTTGTATTTTTGTTTCTCCATCGAATTCCTCATTTCAAAAGGACCTCTCACAAAAGCCCTGCCCCAGAGTTAAGGGAAAGGCCCTTCCAGGTGAATTCATTGAGGTTCCCACCGTGTCCTGGAAGACGGGCCCTCTTTGCTGGTGCTTCCAGTGGGGACCACGTGGGTCCTGGAAGGTGCACATCCCAGGAGAGGATGACGAGGTAGGAGAGGAGAAGAGAATGGCATCATTATTTGGGTCCTCACCAGAGCCAGCCCTTTAAGATTAGAAATCCTTCTTGAAGAGCCAAGCAAAGGCTCATCCAGCCCCCCACAACCCCATTCTGCTGCCTTCTCACATCCAGGAAAGAGCACATCCCTGATGGGCACCCAAGCAGGTGGCCTTCCCTGGAAAGGGGCACTTTAGCCCTCCTCACCCAAAGGTCCTAGGGCCCGTTTGGGTGTTCTTAAAATGTACCTCATAAGTCATGATCCAGCCTGAGTTTTTCTGCAGAGGCGCTGCAGCCAAGAGGGGATGTCTC